ATTAGAAGTTCAGGAAGAACCGCTGACAGTTTGGTGATCGACGGGAAAGTCAATGGAAAGGGAATCTGACAGCACAGTGGACACTGGCGCTATGGTATCTATATGGTAACTCAGTGCAAGGAGGAAGCTGATGCCTCTGAGAAGAAGAGTGTGTTTACGTACAGTTACGGGGAAATGGCCGTTGTAATGGGAGAGGCTATCGTCGAACTGAAGTTAGGAAATTTGAAGTTCCAGCATAGCTGTTTAGTGGCAGATATTGAAGATGACTTCATCTTGGGCATGGATGTGATTCGTCAACATGGATTTTCGTTCGATCACCAAAGAAATATCCTAAATATCGGAAACGAAGAGTTCATGTTATCTCCAGACGAGGGACCAGGAAGAATGGATGTAAGATCAGCGGAAACTGTGGTGATACCTGGTAATACCGAGAAGATCGTATTCGGTAAAGTGGAGAAAATCGCTGGGTGCTGTGTTGGACTGGTACAAAGTAGCGACAACAAACAGGATAGGTACTTAGTAGGAAAATCATTGGTTAACACCGACAAGAATATACCGATCAGAATTGCGAATGTTTTCCGGGAATTGTATCAAGATCCAAAAGGTGACAAGATAGCCATCTGCGAACCTGTAAGAAGTGTCACCCGATGTGATGAAGTGTCGTCAGCTGTTACACAAAAGGCATCCCAAGAAACACTAAAACATCTAGAACAGCCATGGGATCACCTAACACCTGAGGAGAAACAGAAGGCTGGCAGTTCCTGCTAAAGCATGGCAGTATTTTTGAGAAGAACAACAGTGGAAGAACGGATTTTGTGAATCACCGGATTAATACTGGTCATGCTCAGCCGATTCGACAACGTCCCAGAAGAGTTCCCCTTCCAAACAACAAAGAAATGGAGACAATGGTAGATAAGATGTTAGAAGAGGGAGTAATCGAAGAATCATCGAGTCCATGGTCATCTCCTGTTGTTTTGGTGACGAAGAAAGATGGTAGTACACGATTCTGCGTGGACTATAGGAAGCTCAATGACGTCACTAAGAAAGATAGCTACCCACTGCCACGTATAGATGACACATTAACAACTCTGGCAGGTTCGTGCTGGTTCTCCGCACTCTCGACTTAAAGAGTGGATACTCGGCAAGTTGGTCTGACGAGGACGATAAAGAAAAGACGGCTTTTTCTGGAAGCGGCCTGTACCAATTCAAGGTTATGCCATTTGATTATGCAATGCTCCAGCCACTTTCGAACGTCTCATGGAGGTGGTGTTAAGAGGATTAACTTGGAAAACGTGTTTGGTTTACCTCGACGATGTATTGGTTATGGAAGAACTTTGAGGAGCACGGCAGAAATTTAGAAGAAGTCTTTGCCGCATACGGAATGCTCACCTGTACTTGAACCCGAAGAAGTGTAGCTTATTCCAGCGACAAGTGGAATTTTGGGTCATGTAGTCTCGGCAGACGGAATTTACACCGACCAGAAGAAAATCGTTGCGATCAAGGATTGGCCTAAACCTCGCGACAAACATGAACTTAGAAGTTTTCTGGGTTTATGCACCTATTACAGAAGATTTGTCAAGGGGATTTTCCAATATAGCTGCACCCTTACATAGACTGCATAGGTGATGAAGTTTGGCTACGAATGGAACACCGATTGTGATGTAGCCTTTTGAAGACTTAAGGCGGCTTTATGTTCAAGTCCCTATTCTAGCCTACCCGCAACAACAAGGGAGGTATATCCTGGATACCGACGCCAGCAATATCGGCATAGGTGCAGTGCTATCACAAGTGCAAGATGGCGAAGAACTTGAGTGATAGAATATTACAGTCGAGTTCCATCCAAACCAGAAAAAGAATTACTGTTACCCGGAAGGAGCTGCTAGCAATTGTGAAGGCAGTTGATCATTTTCATAAATATCTGTACGGCCAAGAATTTTTAATTAGGACAGATCATGCGGCTCTCAAGTGGCTTATGGAGATGAAACAACCTGAAGGTCAAATAGCACGATGGCTCGAGAAGCTCCAACAGTATCACTTTACCATCCAACATCGTGCTGGAAAAAAATGCATGGTAACGCAGACGGTTTATCCAGAAGACCCTGTCAAACCGATTGTAAGCACTGCTGTAAAACGGAACAACGTGATGGCACTGTCATGATAAGGAGTTTTAAACTTGGAACCGATGAACAGTGGACGACGACACAATTGAGGAAAGATCAAATGGAAGATCCAGACATCGGAGCAATACTACGGCTCAAGGAAGGTAACGGCGAGACCCACCGTGGCAGGATATTGCGGACAGAGGGGCTCGTTTTCAAAGCTCTCTGGGCTCAGTGGAATTCACTGGTTATTGAGAATGGATTGTTAAAGCGCACGTGGGAAAGTGCGGATGGCAGGGCAGTAAACAACTCAGTTACTGGTACCAAGGAAGAAAGTTACCCAGGTATTGGAAGAAATTCACGGTGGTAAAACTGGAGCCCATCTTGGAGTAAACAAGACCTTGAGCAAGCTGAGATCGTTTTTACTGCGTGATTATTGCGAAGATGTCAAGAAATGGTGTCGACAATGTAAAACTTGTGCAGCCAGCCAAGGACCAAGCACTCGATCTAGGGGGGAAAAATGAAACAATATAACGTTGGACTGCCATTCGAAAGAATCGCTGTTGACATTGCAGGCCCATTCCCTGAAACGCACAAGGGCAACAAGTACGTTTTAGTGGCGATGGATTATTTCAGTAAATGGCCAGAAGTTTTGCCATTCCAAACCAAGAAGCATCGACTGTAGCTGAAGAGTATTAGTCAATAATGTCTTCAGTAGATTTGGAATTCCTCTTTAGAGCTTCACACTGACCAAGGAAGGAACTTCGAGTCAAGACTGTTCCAGAAGATGTGTGATCTGTTTGGTATTCACAAGACTAGGACAACAGCTTTACATCCGCAGTCTGATGGGATGGTCGAGAGATTCAATAAGACCATTGAAGAACATCTCGAAAATGGTGGATGAACATCAAAGAGATTGGGATCAGCATATACCAATTATTCCTAATGGCATATAGAAGTGCCGTTCACAACACCACCGGACTTTCACCATCGAAGATTTTTATTTGGTCGAGAATTACGGTTTGCCTTGTGACTTGGTGTTCGGATCACCAGACGACAGCACCACGAACGTAAGAGGACTACGCGGATGAACTGAAGGAAAGGTTATTGGGAATTCATAAGGCCGTGAGAAGTAAGATTACGCTAGCCAGTGACCGGATGAAAGCTCGTTACGACATCAGAGCTAATTCCCCATGGGATTTCAACAGGACGATCTGGTATGGTTATATAACCCACAGCGCAAGAAAGGGGAGGTCCCCAAAGTTAACTCCAGCATGGAAGGTCCTTATACAGTCATCAAGAGGATAAATGATGTTGTGTACCGGATTCAACGCAGCCCTAGAAGTAAGATGAAAGTAGTTCATCTGGGATCGATTGAAGAGATACGAGACAGGGAAACCCTTGATCGGGACGATCAAATTTGAGAGAAGGGGGCAATGTCAAGAAAAATGGCGCATCCGCCAGAAATTAAAAAATGTATTACTGGTTGCCTGCACAACCGCAACGTATCCGCTAGAAATTAAAAGACTTTTCAGGCGCCATCTTTGTCAAGTCGAGAAGTAAGGAATCAGACAATAGAATTGTCTGGTATGAAGAAGTACGCTTTCCGAGAATTGGGAAAATTTCGAGAAGCAGTCAATAGAGTATATAGGCCGGAGCCATCGACAACTGAGACAGTTTTTGAAATTTGAATATACCGCGTGGAAATTTTAAAAGTTATTCTCGGTCAAAGTTTTGCACATAGTTTATAATAAAATTTTCATTGTATCATTCACTGCAAATTCTAATTGCGCCTTTTTTAATTTTTACTCAAAAAGAGAGAGTCATACTTTTTTCAACAAAACAATGTTTCTTTAGCAACTTTAATATGGAAAACTAATATTGCACCATCTATGATCAATTGATCAAAACTATAATTTAAGGTTATTGTTTCATTGCCTTTCAGTGTTCTTAAATATATGTGTCAATTGAAAAGAATGAACAAAATTCGAATGGTTTTTATCTTAAATATTACTTGTATTGAATTAATTAAATTAATTTAATCAATTAATTTTTAAATTTTTTTTAAATTTCATCAATTAAATTAAGTAATATTTAAAATAAAATCCACTCGAAATGTGTTCATTCTTTTCAATTGACGCACATATTTACGAACACTGAAAGGCAATGAAACAATAACCTTAAATTATAGTGTTGATCAATTGATCATAGATGGCCCAATATTAGTTTTCCATATTAAATTTAAATTGTTAATGTTAAATTTTAAAGTAATATTGTTTTATTGAAAAAAGTATGGCTGTAGATCATTTTTTAGTCAAAATCAAAAGGCGCAATTAGAATTTACAATGTATTTGATAATAAACTGGCATTTTTTTAGAGCATAAAATTTTGTATTAGAATACTCGTATATCTTTGGCTGTCGTTTGTCTTTGACCAAAGCTGTAGGTCCATTTGCTTTGGAGATAAAAAATTAAATGCAAAAGGTCAGAAAATCCCATGTTATTTAAATGGGAAAAGTATCATGATTCCGGCACGGTTTAAATTAAAAATTAAGAGCTTGTTTAACTTGGGTTATTTTTTTTAGCGAGCAAAAACTAAAATTTCAGAGGGCGGCACCACCAAAATTCAACTTGGGAAATAACGGACACCGTAATATCCATGTCCATTATTTGATCCTACAAAAAACCATGACTCAGTGGCATGTCTCTGTAGGCCATATATTTAATCTTTATTAAGTGAAATAAGTAAATAAGAAAAATTCAATATAGAGGAATTTCTAGGTCAGTTGCATCTCACCGGTTTTTCCTGCTGTCTTTTTATTTATTAGGAATGTTACTAAGTCTAGTATACATTTAACGCTTCTATTTGCCATTTTAAACCACAAATGCATTTCTTTTACAGATCTCCTTTAGCTACGCCAAGATTAAAGAAGAATGGAATGTCGTCAAGATAGATGGGTTCAATGAAAAATATGATCAAAATAGGTAAGTTTAAATGCCCAATCTCGTTTTTAGATACCTGCTCGAAATAAAGATTTATAATATTTTATACAGGGTGTTTCAAAAAACATGTGCAAGAATCTCTGAATTCTGAACTAAGTAATATTAAAACCGATTTACTTTAGAATGGTTACTCTGCCAAATCCCTAGACAATATTATATGCAATTGCATAGCGTTTTTTTTTGTAAATAAATGTAATGTGATGGCTACAGAGCGGCCAAAGCAAAAGTGAGTCCACAGCGCAGAGAGCGAAACCTTGAAGCGATGTTGACAGCTCTCCACAGAAGCAGTGAAACGATAACAGGGTTTTTGACTAGAGAACGTAAAAATTACGCCAAAAGGGTGGCCTGATCGATACGGAATCCGGTGACGGTACGCCAGACATCATATATCATATATAAAAAAATATGTAACGAACTAAAAACGTTACAACTGGCTCGTTGGTGCACCAGCCTGAGGAGGATGCTCTCTTTCTCTTGACGAATCCATATGTAAAAGGAACATCGGAGAAAATCAGGCGAATAGCTAAGCAGTATACAATTAAAACTAGTATTAAGTCTGGGACTACTCTAAGAAGACATAATTATATAATAAATATAACATTTTAAGAAGACATAATTCTAACTAAAACAAAACTGGAATCATCAAACCAGGAGAAACATTGCATCTACCAGCTACCTTGTGAGTGCAGTGAGTCGTATATTGGAGAAACAAAACGTCCTCTACATGTGCAACTTAACTAACATAAAAAAATACGCAAAGAGGTGAAACAATGAAGTCGGGAATTACAGATCATGTGTGGTCCAAGCACCACAACATAAAATGGTTGGAAGCCCGGGTTGTCCACAGAGAAAAAGCAGAGCAAACCCCATTGAAAAATGCAAAAATTTAAAGAGGCCGTATTCACTTCTAATTTCATCAATATGGCAACCACTCATAAAATGCTCCAATACAGGTGGAGAAGCTTGACTGCACTCAGTTTAGTTCACACTGATAACGGTCAGTGATACTTCTGACTGAAACTTTGTGTAAGCAAAATAAATAGACCATGGAAGTCCGAAACTCTTTTAGTTTTAATACTGAACCATTGTCTACCACATTCAAAGTAACTTTAACCCCCTGTTGCTACAAAACAAAACAGAATTTACGTAGGGAATCTCCCCACGGGAGATGGAACATGGTTTTGAAACACCCTGTACAAACCTAGATACATAACCATATCTATACCTACCGTTCTCATGGCAATGTTTTATTTATATTCTTGATGGGAATCAGAGACTACAAAAAATATTTTACTGATTTAAAATTCTAATTCGTTATTTTACGTATTTTTTTAAACAATATTTTACTGCATAAACTCTCATTTTTTGGCATACGAGTATATTTCAGTATTCTTTTTTCAACGCTTAAATATGAATATTAATCTTTCCACAATAACAAAGCGGAATAATTCGTTTTAAAACCACGGCGCATTTCGCCAAAAAAATCTAATTTCTGTCTTTTTTTGGACATTCCTACTGTTGGCGCGTTTATATTTTTATTATATCCTCATGTTACGGCTGTTCCTCGCAATTAAGTCTGTAATTTACAATGGTCCGAGCCTAACATTCTATTACTTTTTGAGCATTTTTTGTTGTAATTTCTTTAATTAAAGTTGTATATTTTTTTCTGTTTAGTGGTCTGACATAATTCGGACTTTATTTAAATTATGCAGTGTTATTATAGAAACGATTTATGTCACAAATAGACGGAAATATCCTACTCTAAACTAGCTAATAGAGATCCATTATCGATAATTAGCCGACACTCGTCAACGTATATATGTTCATTTGAACATCAGTTGCCTCGTTTGTAACTGTCTGTATCGCTTTTTGAATAGTTATGGCCATGTGTATAGTGTGAGAAATACTAGAAATAATGTGGAAAAATTTGGGTAGTTTGCAACTGAAACAGAAAACTAAAAAAATGATGCACCTTCCTATGATTTTTTAGTAGTACGCAAATTTGCTCCTAACATACGTGAAGAACCATTGAAAAAATGGTTTCCGTTGAGTGCCAAACCTGTCATATTTTACGAGAATTTTTTTTTAGATTTTTTGTCTCGATGGTTTTCCATCACTGTAAGACTATTAAACATTAACTAAAACTACGCATAGTTACTTCACAATCTCAGTATACAGGGTGTTTCAAAACAAATGCGAAAAACTTCAGGGGGAGATGCCTTGTTCAAAATAAAGGGTAGTTTGCTTCATAAACGTTGGGTCAAAAGTCAACCATTAGGGAGATATCGCGGTACAAAGATGGCGGAAAAATAATGTTCTTATTTTTTATCTTGAAAACGAAAATAGATAGACTAATGAAATTTTATGGAACACACATTTACATTTTTTCACTTTTTTAAAATGAGTGGAAAGGGTTGAAATAAACTACCCCTATCATTCTTGTTAACGAAATTTGAAAAAAAATCTTATCAAACACATGCAAAAAAATTAATTTGGATAGTTTAGTTTGTTTAGAAACTTTTTTATCTCTTGTATTTTTTTTTTATAAAACTCACCGATTTGAAATTAAAAAATAAAATTTAAAGCATTACATGTCAGGACTAAAAATATTTTTAGATTAAGAATCTAGTGATAATAATGATAATAATAATAATCTAGATAATAACGTATTGCAGTAGGGTAATGTCAAATAAAACAATATTAGAAACATCCTAAAAAGTGACAGCGGCCGACTAGATTTTTTCCTAAAAAAATTACAGCTGCCCACTAGATTCTTTATCTAAAAATGTTTTTTGTCCTGACATGTAATGCTTTACATTTTATTTTTTAATTTCAAATCCGTGAGTTTTATCAAAAAAAACACAAGAGGTAAAAAAGTTTCTAAATAAACTAAACTATCAAAATTAATATTTTTTGCATGTGTTTGATAAGATTTTTCTTTAAATTTCATTAACAAAGAATTTGAATAGTTATGGCCATGTGTATAGTTGGGAAATACTAGAAATAATCTGGAAAAAATTGGGTAGTTTGCAACTAAAACAGAAAACTAAAAAAATGATGCACCTTCCTATGATTTTTTAGTAGTACGCCAATTTGCTCCTAACATACGTGAAGAACCATTGAAAAAATGGTTTCCGTTGAGTCCCAAACCTGTCATATTTTACGAGAATTTGTTTTCTTAGATTTTTTGTCTCGATGGTTTTCCATCACTGTAAGACTATTAAACATTAACTAAAACTACGCATAGTTAATTCACAATCTCAGAATATAATGTTGGTCGTTAGTTTCCTAGATCTTTGCTGCAAAGTCTGCAGTGCATATCTTCTTTAAACAGGAACACTTATGTCATCATACAGCATTTTTTAATAAGAAAATCTGTCATGATTCACACTTTTGATTTTCACTCACCACGAGTATTTAATACTTCAACGTGTTTCTTGCGTGATTGATTAGTTTCTTGCAAAGCTTATTATTCAGTTTTTGAGTTGACTAACCATTTTATCAAACTTCAGGAATGAATAAACCTACAGATACTCAATTTTTATTATAAAGATTTTGTCTAATAGCTGAAAAATCATCATCATCGTCATCATTTTCAGCTTAATCAGCCTATTATAGTCAAACTAGTAGTCAAACTATAATAGTGTAGCATCTCTCACATATTTATACAGGGTTGGTCACCACATACGACACGGAGTATTGTAGCTAAACGATTAGATTTTTACAAATTGTAAGTTTTGGGTTCGTTGAAGGACTATTAGAGCTACAATTTAAAAATATTTTTACAAGATACAGAGTGTCCCAAATAAATAAAAAATATCAAAGTTGTATTTTTTTAAATGGAACACCCTGTATATTATTGCATTTTTAGTTTCTACGATTAAAATAAAGGTAAATTTTATTAAGGTTTAATACACTTAAACCTTAGCGTTTTTGAAATATTTTGAATTTTGTAAAATTGCAGTATAAATTTTAAGGCTTCATTTCTCCAAGGGTATCAAAGTTTTTAATACTAAATATTTACTGAAGTTTATTTATTGATCAGTTATTGTGTTGCAATAATACAAATTATACTACCTTATACAGAGTGTCTAAAAATGTATTTTAAATAATTACTAGCTTTAAACGGCAATAACTTATTTAATTTAAATGGAATACCCTGTATATTTTATGAGAATTAGATGCACAATTTAATTGTCTATCAAATTGTATTATTCCACTTTTTACCTATCCCTTCAAGTTTTCGTAGAAAATGCATTTTCGTATAATTTAGACCTTATTTATAAATATATCCATGGAATATTGACATTTTAGATTGTTTTTAAAACAACAAATGTACAAAATGTACAGGTTTGACAACCATTTGTCAAACCAAAATTCAAACCATTTGTATGAAAAAGAAAACTATTTAAATCTTTATAAAAGAGTATACCATTAATTAAATATACCACCAGTATTTCCGCCCAAATACTAATTAATTACATACTTAATTGTGTTCGTTAATAAATTATTCTAAATAAATGTGGATTTGAATCAGAAATCAATATAATAATAAGTTATGAAAATGATCGTCTCTGTTGTCAAAAAATTAAATATCATTTTTAAGGTATTAGTTTTTTTACCACACTGTCTAATACACAAAAATAATTCAGTTTTTTAGTATTTGGAGCAATTATTATTAATCAACGCAAACAGTCAATTAATGTAGTTTGAATACTGGAATCATATTAATTGTCGTTCTTTTTAACAAATATTTACACAGATTTTTTTTATTTTTTTAATGAAATAAACGAACTTATTGACAATACTAGTATCTGTTCTCTTTAGAAATTTGGTACATCTTTAAAAATAATCTAAAATGTCAGTATTCCATGGGTATACTGACATACTGATAAATGAGTTCTAAATTAAAAGAAAATGCATTTTCTACGGAAACTTGAAGAGATAGGTAAAAAATGGTATAATACAATTTGGTAGACAATTAAATTGTGCATCTGATTCTCATAAAATATACAGGGTGTTCCATTTAAATTAAACAAGTTATTGCCGTTTAAAGCTAATAATTATTTAAAATAAATATTTAGACACTCTGTATAAGGTAGTAAAATTTTTATTGTTGCCACACAATAACTGATCAATAAATAAACTTCAGTAAATATTTAGTATTAAAAACTTTGATACCCTCGCAGAAATGAAGCCTTAAAATTTATACTGCAATTTCGCAAAATTGAAAATATTTCAAAAACGGTAAGGTTTACGTGTAATAAACCTTAATCAAAGTTACCTTTATTTTAATCGTAGAAACTAAAAATGTAATAATATACAGGGTGTTCCATTTAAAAAAATACAACTTTGTTATTTTTTATTTATTTGGGACACTCTGTAACTTGTAAAAATATTTTTAAATTGTAGCTCTAATAGTCCTTCAACGAACCCAAAACTTACAATTTGTAAAAATCTAATTGTTTAGCTACAATATTCCGTGTCGCATGTGGTGAACAACCCTGTATACTCTCTTTGTAGTTGGGTCCATTGGTTGTCTATTGTTGGCTATGAGGGCACAAGTTATCCCCGCTAATTTTCTAATATCATGGTCCCATCTTAGGTTTGGTCTTCTTCTTGGTCTCTTATTTTCTCGTGGGTACCATGCTGTAATTTTTGTGGTCCGTCTGTTGTCCGTCCTTCTTACCAGGTATCCTGCCCATTATTACTTCAGGGATTTGATGCTGTGGATGACATCTATTACCTGGGTCTTTTGTCGTATCCACTCTAGTTTTAATGTCTTTCTTGGTTATATCTTACTTCAGTTTTTGCTTCCTTCATTTTGAGATCTATTTTATTGCTCGCTGTATTTAGTTCGTTAATGTGTGTTTGTATTTGTTCATGGCAATTTGAACTATGTCGTCAGCGAATATTAGATGATTAAGATATTCTCCATGTATATTTAATCATGTAAATTTGTTTGTCCAGTTTAGTTGACGGAAGATTTCTTCTAGTGTTACTGTAAAGAGCTTTGGGGATATTGCGTCGCCCTGTCGTACTCCTTTACCAGTTAGAAAATCTGGGTTTGTTTTATATATTATTACTATTGCTTTGGATTCTTAGATTCTTTTTTTTTTGTTTCTCTTAGTGTATGTATGTGATCAATCGCGCTGAAGCCGCTTCTAAAGCCTGCTTGTTCTCGTGGTTGTGCGGCGCACAATGGTTTAGGGCATATGGTAATACGGTATTAATTCAATAACTTCGAAATGACAAATGATATTCGAATCATATTTAGTATACTTAGTAAGAGGTTTAAGTACTTTATTTTAGATATATATTTAATTTATACTTTGTTTTCAAACGTCAAATATTGACAGATAGTCACTTTTTCTTATAAAACATCCTGTACATACATTTATATTTGAAAATGCAAATTTTATGATTTGAAATGGTGATCATCTGTCAATATTTCACATTTAACAGTAGTCTGAAATGGCGCAAAAGTGGCAAAAATTGTTGTGTCGATATAGTAATGCTTGCGTCAAATTAGTCAGTATTATTACATAATATTATATGAATGTTAAAAAGTTAGCAAGTTTGAGAGTATGATATAGGGTGAACAATCACTACAAATTTAAAATAACAATGAGCAATGATTGCAAATTTACTCTGGCAAACGTTTCTGTTATTTCTACATCAGGTGGATAGCAAAGTTTTTTTGATGATAAAATACGCTCATACGATGGGAAAATGTCACTTCCTAATTCTATTGCTGATTGCCTAAGAATACCGTAAGCATGTTTTGTTTACGAGGTATCAATGATCAAGGCCAAATCTCTCTCTGGATGGTATGAAAGAATCTCATTTTGTCCTGTAATTTTCTTGGATGCAGCTATTATTAATTCATTTGAAACATTGTCTAAAACTTCCTTGATTTTTGCACGTTTGGTCCGTTCTGAGCAATCTTCAAAGCGTTTTTCAGGTCGACCGATTTGCGCACAAGAGCATGATGGTTCTTCATCTGAGACTGTAATTGTGCATCTACCTTCCAGCCACTTACTGTATCTGGTATAAAACGTTTTTTTTTGTGCGATTAGATTCTTGCCATCGTTTATTAAAATGTGCTAAAAATATTTGACCTAAATACCTCTTTATAACATGGAGCTGGTCGCGAGTAAGTTGCTCGTTAAGAAATTTTATTCTTTCCACAATTTGTGTTAAATCCCGGCCACTTTCTAAAATTATTTCTACTAACTCGCGGTATGAACACTCGAAAAAGAACTCAATTTTGCGACAAACAACAAGAAACTAAAGTAATCCAAAAATGTATTCAAAATAATCGCTATCACTGATATGTTAAGGTCAACCTTACCACTTATTTTCGATACATAAACAAGAGCGGCAGGTGACGGCAGCTAAATCTAAATGATGCTATTTAAGTAAAGTCTAAATAATATTTTTATGCTTGATACGTCACGGAGCATGGTGGAGCAAGCTAGTTATACCTTTCTGAACTTGAAAAACCTCCAACAATCTGAATAACCATACTATTTACAAAATTATAGTAGAAGAAATAGAAAAGGATAGTCTTGACAAAACTTCTGAGCACGTTATTCTTCAACTAACTCAGGAAAAATATTTAAATTCGATTATCCCCCACTTGAATAATACTAAGTGATTCATATTACGAGCGTTTATTTCTAAGTAAGGAGGATAGTATTGCGTGTTCGGCTTTAAAAGTATATGGTAGATAGTGGATTCGTTTTTTGAAAGCAAAAATCTTTCAAATGTATTATTATAAATATATAAACTCAAAAAATGTAACATATAATTCTTTTTTTCTGTAACTTCGGAAAATGGGGTTTCTGCCGCTCTCAGACCACTGTGGCGTCTAGCGTGTTTTGTATTCTGCTGTTTATTATTTTTGTAAATATCTTGAATTACTGGTATTTAAAAAATTCAGAAAATAAAAAACTGATATTATTTTGAAACCACAAAACATTCAAATGATGATTCAACACGAAATATTTTTGATTTGGTCTAGCGTGTTTTGTATTCTGCTGTTTATTATTTTTGTAAATATCTTGAATTACTGGTATTTAAAAAATTCAGAAAATAAAAAACTGATATTATTTTGAAACCACAAAACATTCAAATGATGATTCAACACGAAATATTTTTGATTTTTTACCAAAATGGAACATGATTTTATATTTATTAGATAAAATATTTATAGGCTTAAACCATTATAGCACATAAATAAGCATATTGATTATAAAAAATATACCTCATTAAAATTTTAATTCTTCTTGCCTCTTCTTTAATAGCGTTTTAAATGTTTATTGAAAGCGCTCAGTGAATCGTCAGTTATGCACAAAGCCATCGGTGGCGCGTTTCCGAAAAAACGAACAAAGCAAAAATGATTTAATTTAAAGCCAGTTCATTTGACACGATGACTGGCAACCAACCAATCCATAATTCTCCTACATGACGTAACGTTTTTTTTTCTTTGCAGGTTTCTGTCCCTCCACTGCTTCTTGTTTCCCAGGTTCAGCTTTTGTCCTAGCAGAAGAAAAAGGTGAGAATGGAGCAGTACCAAAAATTAAAGAACTTGACATGCAACGACTGAATATTTAGAAAACTTCATTTCAAAATAATATCAGAACAAGAAAATGTTTTATTTTATTTGCATAAATCTCGAATTTTATTTATGTTTCTTGGCGAGAATCAAAACCGTAAGCTTTATAAATTATAATTTATATAATCTGTGATCTGTTTTGTATATATTTAAGTATGTATCTATTTTGTATATTCAATTTTTTAAATATTTTATAAATATTGTAAACTAGTCTGATAGGGAGCGAATCTTTTTAAAACGTTTCATTGTGATAAGAAACTGTATAGATATAATGGTTTTTCGAAAATTCACACTAGATTCCTTATAAATTTAGATAACTTATCATGTTTGTTTGTGATAAATAAATATATTTTATATTTTTTGCAATGAGAATATAAACATACGATAATTTAATTTGTGTAATATAAGGTGCAATTGTCAATATTTAGTTTCACAAAATAATTTGCTCAATAATATTATGTGTAAATTATATTAAATATTTTTTTTTGTACAAAAAACTTAAATTGTAACCATATAGTGGCAGTGTATAAATAAAATTAGTATGTTGTTGAAGTTGTATATAAATAAAAACCAAGTTTACCATTTCGATATTTTATTTAAACCCGTTGCTATTGACAGGCGACTAGGCAAATGAATATTAATTTTAGTGGATTTACGGAATATTTAGTTGCATCAGTGAATTTTGTTCATGGTGGAATGGGTCAACTGGATTGAAAATATAACTAGCAAAAATTGATGTACTAAAAAGTTAAATAAGTAGTTAAGGAGTTTTGTAAATAAGTAATACGGTTTTTCTAGAGAGATAAAAAATGTATTTAGCATTTGTGATGAAAATTCTATACTTACAATTAAGTTATATTGTTTACTTTTCTTAATACCAGATGTGTATACATAATATTTGCAACAAAAATACAGAAATCATTCAAGACGTCTTAATTTTTAATTTGGCAAATTAATAAATACAAAGGTCGATCATGGATATGTTAAAATTAAATACCAATTTGGTACAATTTGAAAGAGTGATACACGAAATTTTGATACGTACTGTCAGTAGCGTGTCGTGGATAAAAGGGCGGAGGGGGCGAAGACCTTAAGGGGCGCAATGATCAATAAAGGATCAAATAAATTACAAACTTTTTTTAAATAATAAGACTACATGAAAACTTTTATTTTTTTTTAATTATAAATTTGTTTATTAAAAAAGTTAGTATACTAAACAGTTATTTCAGAGATGCAAGCGTCTTGTTTTAACCGATTTAAAAGAATCAATTATTTCGTCTATATTTAGATCCAGGGCTGTGTCTGCTTCAATACTGAGAAGTGATAAATAATCCTCTGGTAATTATTAATTCTTCCTAATCTACTGAAAGATCCTTCTGCACCAGCACTGTTGGTGGCTATTGTAATGAAGTTCATAAATTTTGGGGCTCATTTCTGGGACACCCCGTATACTGTACTTAAATAATAGGGACCTTTTCTGTAAACAAGGTTAGGCAATGGATTTTATTGTTAACTCATTATGGTAATGAACTTCATTAATGTTCTTACTGTTGACTTAAGTATGTTAGATATTTAATGACCATATTGTAATAGAGTTTTGATCGGCGTTACTCGCTATAGTTCGGTACGGCAGCCGAGAAGCTGGCCCTACCAGTACCGGTCGAGTGGAGGGGAGGGTCGTTTGAGTATACCCTGGCAGCGAGAGCGCCAGGTAGTGAGTTGTGTGGTCGCACGTGAACAGTGAAGTTCGAGTCCGGAGTGCCCTGCCAAGTGTCCTGCTGCCAGCTGCCAGCCGCCTGCCGCCTGCCGCCGTATTGTATAAGGTAAGCACCCACCGCCAAAGTGATCGAGAGTAGGTCGTATTCTTTTTATTGTTAATACCGTTTACTTTACTGCCTTGACGCGTTATAGGGATAAGGGGAGACAGAGATAGTTAGAACGCGCGATCGCATTAGCTAGCAAAAAGCTTGTATTCGTTCAGGGCCAACCGTCTTCTAGCAGGTAGGGGCTGAACGGATCCCGTGAACGCAGACCGATTTCTTTTATTAAAAAGGGAGACAGAGATAGTTAGAACGCGCGATCGCATTAGCTAGCAAAAACTTGTATTCGTTCAGGGCCAACCGTCTTCTAGCAGGTAGGGGAGCTGAACGGATCCCGTGGACGCGAAGACCGATTTCTTTTATTAAAAAGGGAGACAGATAGCGGTTAAGGTAGTACAGTAAATACCCGGGTCGCGAATGTTCTTGGAACTAAAGCAGGATCTCGTCTATCCCGCGACTGGTTCTGTAGTTCCCGTATTCTCATCAGGAGCGCCGTGGGATCTCGCCGACATCCCGAGGTGGTCCTGACCGGGCGGTGTGGACTGCGCTTATCCAGGCGACTAACCGAGACGCCGTTTCGTTCTACTGCGCACGATCCAGGGCTCGCGTGCGTACCTATCCCACAGGACTCCGTTTCGTCCTACTGCGAACGATTCAGGGCTCGCGTGCGTACCTATCCCACAGGACTCCGTTTCGTCCTACTGCGACCGATTCAGGGCTCGCGTGCGTATCTATCCCACAGGACGCCGTTTCGTTCTACTGCGCACGATTCAGGGCTCGGGTGCGTAATTATCCCACAGGACGCCGTTTCGTTCTGCTGCGAACGATCCAGGGCTCGCGTTTGTTTATCCCGGGACGTCTGTAACGACGCGCCGACGTTTAGAAAGTCGGGTTATAAAATAGTATATCGCTCCGGTACGTACATGTCTGTGTTTACTAGGACGCCGTTAAGTTAGACGCCGGTTAGAAACTCGCGTCGTTTTATTTACTAGGACGTCATGTCAAAACCGCGCTTTGAATTCGCGTGATAAAATCGGACAGTGAGTTGCATATCGAGATTATACGGTCAAAACTCTAGAGGTGCTCGATTGTTGTAAATTTTATTTTACGAGTCATTAATTATAAATTTTCTTTCACTTTCATTACAATGTAAAGTCGTGAAACTTCCTGGGGTATTTAGCATATAGTTAATTAATTAAATAAAGCCTTAATGTTATGTTATAGTTAACTGTGTGTTTTATTTCTTTTCATTTCATCACTCCCTGGTATCTCCACTGTATAAAAGCTACCCGTATTGGCGAAACGTGGACCTCTTCCACTATAAAGAACAGAGGTGGCGCCCGAGAGATTTAAATTTACTACTGTACGCCAGTAAGGCTATTTATTTTTCACTGACCCAAAGAAAAATAAACTGAGGCTCTTACACTATAGTGTAAAAAATCTTCAGTAATGCACATCTTTATGTAGAGAGGATATGACTCTAGGACATTGGAAATTAAAAATGATAAATATTCGTCAGGTGCAAATTTGTTGTCATTGCATTAATTTCTTCTAATAAACTGCAAAAATGTTTATATTCATCAACTAAAGAATAATCCATAACAATCCATAAGACATTTTAAATTGTCATCATTGGCGTACATATCCATCCATATTGGTCCATATCCAATAAACAATTAAATTTTTGGCACATATTAAGGAAGTCTTCAAAATGATTCTCTAGAGTACCAGTTGAAATGTCTAAAGTACCATAAAACACTGATATCTTCAAATTATCTTCAGAATTTTGATGTAGGTAATCATTCTGGATTTCATCATGAATTTTTTTTATTCTTTGTCTTTTTTTGGAAAATGATGTTGACGTATTGCATTTATTTGCCAAAATAGTAGCCTGTTTTTAAAAATTTTCACAATATTTTTCACTTCTTAATGATTTGAGATCTATAGTTACTGCAGTACTCATATGAGCAGCTGTACATAAGTTGATACTAACCTTTTGCAAGTGCGATTTGACAATATATTAATTTTATTCAGCACTTCATTATAATCGATTATATTTTGGTCGGTGATTCCCCGAATTTATTTCTATCGCGACTGCTTTCCTCTTCTTCTTTGGCGGCGCCGCGCCGGTGCAACGTTATGTCTAGCCATTGTTTTTTATTTATAGACAATGGTCTAGCGGTAGCGTAGTTTCAAGTTTCAAACCCATATGGAAACTTTCGTACGTAGTATAAACGCCTACTTCATTAGAGATTTAAATTATTAAATATAAGAATGTTTGCTTATATTTAAGTTAAGTTAAAAAACAAAAATAAAATGTGAGAAATATATACGTCATTTTTTTATCTTGAAGAACTCAGGGCACGGAAGGGCGCCGTTTGTTTTAGCGTTAAATTTAGTTTTTCTATTTTTTTCAAAGGGTGCCAGGGGCGCCAAACGCATAGGGGCGGAGGGGGCGTTCGCCCCCCCTGGCCCCTGTTCGCCCACCTGTTATATTTTAGAATATTATTAGAACATTATTATAAAATATATCTATTAAAAAAAAATATGCAATTTTATAAATTTGGGACAGAAAATATGGTCTAAAATGATCATATTGCGAAAATTAGTCAATAAAAATTCTGGCGTTTTTTTTAATTTTGGTATTTTTAGAACTTTATGGTAAACCACTAGGTGAAAAATGGGCGTCTGGGTGTTTTTTACATAAGAAAATTGATTTCGATAACTTCTACTTTGATGTAAATATGACTCCTACCGGTCCTACTTGTATTTTGATGAGACAGTTTCTGATGAACTTTTGTTACAAAAACATTTCAAATTTATGATTTCCGTCTAATAACTATCTAATTCAAGATCAACATTTTTTGTTAATAATGACATGTATTGATTAATTCGATTCCAAATTTTTCGAGAACCATTAGTCCATTTTTACTACCTACCTTGACCTTTTTTATGTAAAAAACGACAACAGATAGTAAAAATAACAGATAGTAAACGATACCAGTAGAAACCAGCGGAAATGTATATTTTTTTTTCACTCAGTAGTTTTATTCAGGCAGGGACGAAAAGTTATAACTCTTCAAACCACTTAAAAATATGTAGATGGCGCAACCAACACCAATCAAGCAGCATTTGGACGTCGGGACAACGTTGTGTCACGCGACCAAACGTCGGGGCGCAACGTCGGCACAACCTCATGCCAGCCCTAGTCTGCACTAGTTTGGAAAATAATTTTTGGGTCGAAACGACGTTGGATACCGACGTTGGCTAGAAGCCTAATTTAGTACAAACTGCAACGTTGTTTAAAATCCTAATTCACAGAAATACAAAACTAATATGGCGTCTAAGTCGCGTTTTATCCTAAATTGGAATAATTCTAGTAAAAATATTATTTTTATGATTTAGTTAGAGACATATGTCAGATGCCAGTGAAGGAAAACAAAACAAAAGTATTTAAGTGTGGAGGATGTTTAATAATTTAATATAATTATGATCTTCATAATTATTGAAACACTTTTAACCGACTCTGTAACTCGTTACCCAAGGCAAAAAAGTTAAACGTAAACAACTTTATTGATAAATGTATTGTTTCTACTTTGAAAAATACTAATGGGCCTTAAAATTAAAGAAATTTTAAATATTTTCTTGAATTTTTTTTTTAGTAAAATGAGAATAATTTATTCGCAGTCGGAAAAATTGTTTCCGCGTGTTTTTTAGGGTCAAATATTTCAAGTTATTGTATTCAAAAAGCAGGAATTGCTATTTTAGGAACGAAACATTTTCGTATTTAACAACATGGCGGCTTTCACTTTGTTGTTTTGGAGATTAAGATGGAGTAGTTCGAGTAGTCGCATACTGGACTAATAAAGTCGCAGTTTGGCCTTAACAGGTAGTATACTAGTCGCAAGATTGCCTAATTCAGTCATCCTAGAGTCTAGCTTGTGCCGCCCTGTATAATTTAAATAAACGAGGGAGTGGATAAACTATCGATAATATATGTCGATGTATATATAAATTTAGTTTTATATGTACCTTTCTTATGTCCCATTTTAATTAAGTTTTTTTTATAAAAACAAACAGCACTGAACTGTCTGACTGAACAGAACAATGAAGTCAAAATTTAAGATTTAAGGTTATGGTTCAATACATTTGCAAAAAGGTAGTGACTCGACGTTCTACCAACGTAAGAATAAGAAAATCTAAACAACGTTGGAGTTAGTAAAACAGACGACGTTTGCATAACGTTGGAATAGGTCCTGAAACTGACGTCGGAAAACTCTATATTGTCCAACGTTGTAACTACGTTGTCCGAATCACCTAAAGATCACTTAAGCAAAAAAGGTTACAAGACAACGTTTATTCGACGTCGCAGAAGCTTCTACTTTGCTGTAGTACTAGTCCAACGTCGGCACAACGTTATAAAAACGTTTAAATTTATTTTAATACCCAAGGTAGGGAGCTAACTATTTTTTGTAACTAATCCAACGTTGTGTTTAGTAAACATATGGTCGCAAGTCGTGAAAATGCTACTTGGGGTCTCCTACAAGTAAGTGTCGTATTGATATAGAAATCAAATATATCATATCAAAAAACTCCCAGACACCAATTTTCATCCAAATATCGACGTTGGTTCAAAAATTATTTGGAAAAAATCGAAATAAAAATGAAATGCCTACACCCTGTATCTCCGAAACGAAGCATTTTAGGACATATATTTATACGAGCTTTTGACTTACTTTTATGCCGAATGTTGCCGAAGATTCCCGAATAACAATTCGCACCGCCCTGTATATTAAATTTTAAAACAAGGTAATGCATCATTTAGATAATGTGGCCTTACAACTTCTAATTATTAGATTTACTTACAAAACACGGATATTTTAAGGTCTCTGTAACCTTTTTCCATTTTACGGTTGACAACACTAGTTTCTTCGTTTGTTAATGTAATGTAATCGGGAGATTAATATATTTAACAGAAATTGATATTTAAAATGTAATTCTAA